AAGAGATAGAGCCTCGGAAACCCAAAGGGGTTGCTGTGAGTCGTAATCCACTCTATGGCAGTAAGTGTGGTTTGGTTTTGGTTTGGTGGTGCAGTGCTATCAAGAAGATTGGTGGTTCAGACCCACCAGCTGCTCTGTAGGAGGAAGATGAAACAATCTATTTCTGTAAAGATTCACAGCCTTGAAAACCTTATGGGGGTTGCTATGAGTAGGAATTGACTTGATGGTAGTGCGTTTGTTTTTTTGACCTCCGGTGATGCAGTGGTTAAAGCATTCTGCTGCTAACCAAAAGGTTGGCAGTTCGAACCCACAGGTTGCTCTGCTGGAGAAAAAGATGAGATAGTCTGCTTCCCTAGTGATTTACAGCCTTGGAAACCGATGGGGCAGTTCCACCCTGTCCTGTAGGGTCGCTAAGAGTTGGAATAGACTAAATGGCAGTGGGTTTTTGGTTTGGGTTTGTGTATTGAAGTTTATTAATTTTCTCTCTGGAGGCTTCCTGTTTCAGGCTTTTTGTAGCTAAGGTTTCTTGCCACCAGATGGCAGTCGTATTTTGGTCATAGAAAGCTGGTCTGGTGGCATAGTGCCTAAGGCATTTGACTGCTAACCAGAAGGCTGGCAGTTCAAACCCTCCAGCCACTCCTAAGACAGCAGATTGGGCAATCTACTTCTGTAGTGATACACCTTCAGAAACCCAAGGAGGGGTTGCTGTGAGTCAGATCCGACTTGATGGCAGTGAGTTTGAGTGAGTAACTTTTTGGAAGTAAGGTGTTCATTGAATTAGAAAGCTTATTTAAAAGACTAACAGCAACTGCAGAGAGATTTTGTGAAACAAGTGCCGTCAACATTATATTATCCAAGGGGATGTAGGAATAAGAGCACAAAACGAAATGGATAAGGCACCATCTGCAGTTTTACGGGGGAAAAAATGAGATTCAGAGGAATGTAATTTGCCTAAAATCATTCTGCTAGAAATGGACAAAATTTCCCTAGTTATATCTGTATTTTACCTTCTTTCTAGATACCAGAGGTTGTCTATTATTTTTAAATTGTGACTCATAGAAAGGAATATGTTTTAGATAGTGACTCTATGCTCTATTTCTTCATGTGTAAAAATGAGCAATGAAGACAGGAGCATAGCTCCCAAAGATCTCTTCTGGTTTTAATATTATGTGATGTAAGCTCAATTCAGCATATTTTGGGGAACATTGGCCCTGACGCCGCTCTTCATGTTGGTTTGTTTCCATGATCAGTTTCTGTGACGGGTATTAAAAAATTCTTTTATTCTATCCATCACTAGGTTGATATAAAAAAAAAGTCAATGAGGTGGTAAGTGTGAAAATAGTTTGAAAAGTATGAAATGATATACAGGTGTAAAACACTATTAGTAGACGTCAGTAATTCAAATTGCATGATTTCAAGAGTGTCTGTTTTCACTTCTCCCTTTTTCACCATTACTCCAAATTCTAAAGCTTTGTTATGATGTTGTTGTTGTTAAGTGCAGTCGAGTCATTCCGACTCATAGCGACCCCATGCACAGCAGAACGAAACACTGCCCGATCCCGCGCCAGCCCCACAATCCCTGCTATACTTGAGCCCATCATCGCAGCCACCGTGTCAATCCATTTCATTGAAGGCTTCCCCCTCTTTCGTCGACCCTCCACCCTACCAAGCATGACATCCTTCTCCAGGGAATGGTCCCTTTTGACAACATGACCAAAATAGGTGAGACGAAGTCTGGCCATTCTTGCTTCCAAGGAGCGTTCTGGCTGCACTTCCTCCAGGACAGATCTGTTAGTTCTTTTAGCAGTCCATGGTACTTTCAGCATTCTTCGCCAGCACCACAACTCAAAAGCATCAACTCTTCTTTGGTCTTCCTTATTCATTGTCCAGCTCTCACATGCATACGAGGCGATTGGAAATATCCTGGCTTGTGTCAGGCACACCTTAGTCCTCAAGGAGATATCCTTGCTCCTCAGCACTTGAAACAATTCCTTTGTAGTTGACTTTCCCAATGCTATGCGTCGTCTAATGTCCTGACTGCTGCTTCCATTGGCATCGATTGTAGAACCAAGCAACATGAATTCTTTGACAACCTCAATCTTCTCTCCATTTATTGTGATGCTGCTCATTGGTCTAGTTGTGAGGATTTTTGTTTTCTTTATATTGAGACGTAATCCATACTGCAGACTGTATTCTTCAACCTTCATCAGTAGGTGCCTTAAGTCATCCTCACTTTCAGCAAGCAAAGTTGTATCGTCTGCATATCTCAGGTTGTTAATGATTCTTCCTCCAATCCTGATACCACGTTTTTCTTCATATAGTCCAGCTTCTCGGATTATTTGCTCAGAATATAGATTGAATAAGTGTGGAGAAAGGATACAACCCTGACACACTCCCTTCTTGATTTTAAACCATGTAGTGTCCCCTTGTTCTGTTCGAACAACAGCCTCCTGGTCAAGGTATAGATTCCTCATGAGTACAATCAAGTGCTCAGGGATTCCCATTCTTCTCAATGTTATCCATAATTTGTCATGATCCACACAATCCAATGCCTTTGCATAGTCAATAAAACACAAGTAAACATCTTTCTGGTATTCTTTGCCTTGAGCCAAGATCCATCTGACAACAGCTATGATATCCCTTGTTCCACGTCCTCTTCTGAATCCGGCTTGAACCTCTGGAAGTTTTCTGTCAATATACTGCTGCAAACGTTTCTGAATTATCTTCAGTAAGATCTTCCTTGCATGCGATATTAATGATATTGTTCTATAATTTACACATTCTGTGGGATCACCTTTCTTTGGAATGGGAACAAATAAGGATCTCTTCCAGTTGGTTGGCCAGGTAGCTGTTTTCCAAATCTCTTGGCATAACTGAGTGAGTGCCTCCAATGGGGCATCTGTTTGTTGATATATCTCAATTGGTATGCCATCAATTCCCGGAGCTTTGTTCTTCGCCAGTTCTTTCATTGCAGCTTTGACTTCTTCCTTCATTACCATTGGTTCTAGATCATATGCCACTTCCTGAAATGGATGAAGATCGATCAGTTCTTTTTGGTACAGTGACTCTGTGTATTCCTGCAATCTTCTCTTGATGTTTCCTGCATCATTCAATATTTTGCCCATAGAATCTCTCAATATTGCAACTCGAGGCTTAAATTTCTTCTTCAGTTCTTTCAGTTTGAGAAATGCTGTGTGTGTTCTTCCCTTTTGGTTTTCAGCTCCAGGTCTTTGCACATTTCATTATAGTAATTGGCTTTGTCTACTCGAGCTGCTCTTTAAAATCTTCTGTTCTGTAATCTTTATGGAAGTAAATTGCCAGGCCTTTCTTCCATTGTTGCTGAATGGGTTCAAAACCACCAACCTTTAGGTTAGCAATTGAGTGCAAACTATTTGTACTGCCCAGAGACCATGGAATCATCCAGGACATGCTTACTTCTCCCACAGTGAGTTGTGACAATATGTATGAAATGTGCCAACCAGGGAAGCTCATTAGAGACTCAGTGCCCAAGTCTTTTATTGGAAGGTGATCACATAGGTAGTCTTTACTTGGCATGTACTAGACTTCTAGAAGGAAAGCAGGCATTCAGCATAAACCATATTGTTTGTACAGGCAGGTATAGTGAGCTACTCTTACTAGTCTGGCAATGGTGGAAACCCTCCTGAAATCCAAGTTAACAGACACCAGCCAAGAGTCAACTTTGTAAACAAGCTCTTTTCTTCATTCAGGTATTAACTAAACTGACATCTGTGCACAGAACATACTGTGGAATAAGAAAAACAATACACATATAAAAGGTGATCCAATCTGAACAGACCAGAGATAGTTTGTTTTTCTAACCAGAATGTCCCATATCTTGAAATTTTTATAACACTAGGGCCAAGGAATGTTCCAGAGAAATAAGATTCTGTCAAATAAGTTTGGGAGATACAGCATTTCTACTTTGCCCTCTAAGGAGATACACACATTAAAGATACTGTGAAATCCTTCCATATGGAACACTATTAAATTTTGTTTAATCTAGTGTTACTCTTTTTTATTTTAATGGGAATTCTCCACCTCCACACCCCATCTTTCTTTTTAATGTCCTTAGTTGAGAAAAACTGCTCTAGCCATATTGGTTGTTGAGTATACTTGCCATTTCCCTGGGAAAGAGAAGTGACCTTGGATAGCTAATGTCTTATGTAAGTGTTATAGTCTATTGAATATAAATATGTAACCTAAACTGTATGCAATTTTTATAGTAGAGGGTGGATTCAGTCATTCTCAATAATGTCTTCTTCAAAGAACCCTGGTAAGCACTACTATATAGAGATAAGAACTCTGGACACATACCAATAACCAGCCTCACATATAGAATACTGGTTGATAAGCTTAATGTAGGTATTATGTATATATATTTGGGTATATTTCCAAATTTGAAGGATAAATTGCTGATTAGATGCTTTATTTCTAGGTCGGCGGAAGCAGAAGTGGGCTGTGGATCCAAGAAACACTGCGTGGAGTAATGATGATTCCAAGTTTGGCCAGAGGATGCTAGAGAAGATGGGCTGGTCTAAAGGAAAGGTATTTTGGAGAAAAGCAAAAGAAATCTGAGCTATGTAAATAGATTACAGATTAGGAGAATGTATCCTTCTCAGGAGTCTGGGAGAAATTTACATTTTAGATCAGTAAGTGATTTTGGAGAAATAACTAAATTATAATGATTTTGTGATGATAAAATTTGAATTGTACATAAATATCAACTCTGTTTACTAGGACCCTGCTGGTGCCATGGTTAAATGCTTGGCTGCTAACCAAAAAGTTGGTGATTTGAACCCACCAGACACTCAATAGGAGAAGATATAATAGTCTGATTTCATAAAGATTTATAGCCTTCGAAACCCAAGGAGAAGTTCTATTTTGTCCTTTAGAGTTGCTATGAGTCAGAATCAACTAGACAGCAATAGGTTTATTTTTTTGTTTTTGTTTTTCTCTGTTTATCATTTAATTTGCTGTGATTTTCTTGGTTCTGTATAGTTCTTTAAATTAGTTGCCCATGAAATCATATTTAACTGTCAATATATTTGACATAAAGTGTGGTTATATTGCTAAGAGTAATATTGTATTCAACTACTTGTCTGTCAGTTTGTCATACAGTAGTGGCTTTTATGTTGCTGTGATGCTGGAAGCTATGCCACCAGTTTTTCAAATACCAGCAGGGTGACCCATGGTGGACAGGTTTCAATGGAGCTTCCTGACTAAGAAGGAGAACCTAGCAATCTACTTCTAAAAAAATTGTCTTATGAATAGCAGTATAACATTATCTGATATAGTGCCAAAAGATGAGGCCTTCAGGTTGGATGGCACTCAAATTATGACTGAGGAAGAGCTGCCTCAAAGTAGAATCAACCTTCATGGCAAAGATGGAGTAAAGCTTTCATGACCTTCATATGCTGATGTGGCACTACTAAAGATGAGAATAAATCTCTGCAAACATCAGTTAATAATCAGAATATGCAGTGTATGAAGTATGAATCTAAGAAAATCCATCAAAAATGAAATGGAACGCATGAAGATCAATATCCTAGGCATTAATGAGCTGAAATGGACTGGTATTGGCCATTTTCAGTTGAACAAATATATGGTCTACTATGCCGGGAATGACAAATTAAAGAGGAATGACGTTGCATTCATTGTCAAAAAGAACATTTCAATATCTATCCTGAAATACAACTTTGTTAGTGATAGAATGATAACCATATGCCTATAAGGAAGACAAATTAATAATACTATTATTCATGTTTGTGTACTAACTGTTAAAAGTAAAATAAACAAAAAACCCACTGCCATTTAGTTGATTGCAACTCATAATGACCCCCATTGAGTTTCTAAGGTGGTAAATCTTTACAGAAGTAGATTGCCCCATCTTCATTCCCCAGAGTGGCTAGTGGGTTTGAACTGCCAACTTTCTGGTTAGTAGTCAAATGCCTTAGGCACTGTGCCACCAGAGCTCCTTGTTAAAGCCAGAAATGAAGAAATCAAAGATTTTTACCAACTTCTACAGTCTGAAATTGACAACACATGCAATCAGGGTATCTTGATTGTTACTGGTGATAGAATGTGAAAGTTGGAAACAAAGAAGCACTGATAGTTGGAAAATATGGTCTTGGTGAAAGAAATGATGCTGGAGATAGTCTGATAGAATTTTGCATCAGCAATGACTTATTCATTGTAAATAACTTTCTTCAACAACATAAATGACAGCTATATATGTGGGCCTCATCAGTTGTAATGCACAGGAATCACATCGACTACATCTGTGGAAAGAGACGATGGAGAAGCACAATATCATCAGTCAGAAGAAGACCAGGGGCTGCTATGGAACAGATCATCAGTTGCTCATATTCAAGTTCAAGTTGAAGCTGAAGAAAATTAAAATAAGTCCATGAGAGTCAAAGTATGACTCTGAGTACATTCCACCTGAATATGGAAACCGTCTCAAGAAAGATCTGATGTGTTGAGCACTAATGATCGAAGACCAGATGAGTTGTGGGATGACATCAAGGACATCACACATGAAGAAAACAAAAAGTCATTGAAAAGACAGGAAAGAAAGAAAAGACTAAAATGGATATCAGCAGAGGCTCTGTAACTTACTCGTGAACAGAGAGTAGCTAAAGTGAATGGAAGAAATGATCATGTAAAAGAGCTGAACAGAAGATTTCAAAGAGCAGCTCAAAAAGATAAAGTATTATAATGAAATGTGTGCAGAGACTTGGAGTTAGAAAACCAAAAGGGAAGAACATACTTGGCATCTCTCAAATGGAAAGAACCAAAGAAGATATTAAAGCTTCAAGTTACACTATTGAAGGAATCTTTGGGCAAAATATTGAATGTTGCAGGATGTGTCAAGAGAACATGAAAGGAATACACAGAGTAAGTGTACCAAAAATAACTGGTTGAGGGTCAGCCCTTTTAGAATGTATCATATGATCAGGAACCAGTGGTACTAAAGGAAGAAATCCAAGCTGTACTGAAGGCATTGGTCAAAACAAAACAAAAACCTCACTGCTGTCAAGTTGATTGCGACTCATAGCAACCCCTCCTTGGGTTTCCAAGGCAGTATCTCTATTGAAGTAGATTGTCCAGTCCTTCTGAGGAGTGGCTGGTGAGTGTGAAGTGCCAGCCTTTTGGTTAGCAGTCAAATGCCTTAGGCACTATACCATACTAGTGGAGATGTTTCAACAAATGGATACAACATTAGAAGTGCCCACTTGTCTGTGCCAAGATTATAAGAAATCCATATTTGTGCCCATTCCAAAGAAAGATGATCTAGAAGAATGTGAAAATTACCAGACAATATCAATAACATCATGTGAAAGTAAAATTTTTCTGAAGAAATTGAAAAACGGTTGCATCAGCACATCAACGGGGAACTGCCAGATATTCAAGCCTGATTCAGAAGATGTGGAATGAGGGCTATCATCTGATGTCAGATGGATCTTGAATGAAAACAGAGAATACAAGATTTCCTGTGTCCTGTTGATTATGTTAGACATTTGACTATGGATCATAACAAATTATGGACAACTTTGTGAAGAATGGGAATTCCAGAATACTTAATTGTTCTCATGAGGAACTTGTATGTAGACCAAGAGGCGGTTGTTCAAACAGAACAAGGGAATGCTATATGTTTTAAAATCAGGAAAAGTGTGTGTCAAGGTTGTATCCTTTTACCATACTCTTCAGTTTGCATGCTGAGCAAATAATCTGAGAAGCTGGACTATGTAAGGAAGAACATGGCATCAGGATCAGAGGAAGGCTCATTAACAACCTGCAATATGTAGATGATATAAACTTGCTTACTGAAAGCAAAGAGGGCTTGAAGTACTTACTGATGAATATCCAAGACTACAGCCCTCAATGTAGATTAGACCTCAACATAAAGAAAAGGAAAACCCTCACAACTGGACCAATAAGCAGCATCATGATCAAAGGAGAAATGATTGATATTTTACTTTGATCCACAGTCAGCATCCATAGAAGCTGCAGTCAAGATATTAAACAAGATGCATTGGGCAAATCTGTTGCAAAAGAACTCTTTAAAGTGTTAAAAAGATGTCACTGTAAGGACTAAGGTATGCCTGACCCAGCCACTCTATTTTCAGTCATCTCATGTGCTTGCAAAAGCTGGACAATGAATAAGGAAAACCAAAGAAGAATTGATACATTTGAATTATGGTGTTAGCAAAAAATATTGAGTATACCATAGACTGCCAGAAGAACAAACAAATCAGTCATGGAATGCTCCTTAGAAGTGAAGATCACAAGACTTCTCACTTACTTTGGACATGTCAGGAGGGATCAGTCCCTGGAGAAGGACATTATGCTTTGTAAAGCAAAGGGTCAATAAAAAAGAGGAAGTTCCTCAATGAGATGGATTGACATAATGACTACAACAATGAGCTCAATTGTAGCAACGATTGTGAGGGTGGCACAGGACCAGGCAATGTTGTTTTCTATTGTACATAGGGTCGCTATGAGTTGGAACCAGCTCTACAGCATCTAATCACAACAGTATTTCATTCCCCTTTATAACTAGGCAGGGGCCTTGGTGGCATGGTGGATTAAGCACTCATAAGGTAACTGAATGGTAAGAGCTTTGACCCCATCAGCCACTCTGTGGAAGAAAGGTGTCACAATCTGCTTCCATAAAGATTACAGCCTTGGAGACCCTATAGGGCAGTGCTACTTTGTCCTTTAGGATTGCTATGAGCTGGAATCATATGGCAGTGGATTTTGGTGGATTTTATAGCTACACTACATAAGTTCTCTCCTTTTATTATTATTATTATTTAAAAATTTTTATTGTGATTTGGGTGAAAGTTTACAGAGCAAATTTACTTTTCATACAGCAACTCACATACACTTTGTCTCATGACATTGACTACCATTTCCCACAATGCAACTGCTTCCCACCTACTTCCTCCCCATCGTTACCTTTTCCCTGTGTCCTTCCTTCCCATACACTCCTGCCCACTGAGCTGTCTCCCCATTCATACGTAACCATCTATTCTCCCATGATTGATTTCTCCAAGGAGTGGATCTACCTAATGTAAATGTTCAGCTCATATGCCTGTCTTTTGTTTGGCTGAAAGCCACAGTATGGGTATGGGTTCAATTTCAGACCTGAAAGGCAACTAGGGGCCATAGTCTCAGTGGTTCCACCAGGCTCTATCAGACCAGCAAACCTGGTCTTTTTTTAATGATTTTGAGTTTTATTCAACATTATTCTCCCATTCTATCCAGGATCTCATACATAGATCCCCCTCTGAGTGGTTGGCAGTAGTAGCTGGGCATCATCTAGCTCTTCTGGTCTCATAATCCTGTAGGCTGAGAATTGCATGGTGTACCAGTCACTTGCAGTAATTGTTTCCATGTGTCTTTGGTTTTCTTCATTCTTCTTTGTTCTGGATGAGGAGAGATCCATCGTTACATCTAGATGGCCACTTGCAAGCTTTTAAGATCCTAGTCACTACTCACCAAAGTAGTATGTGGAACAATGTTTTTGTGTACTATGTTAT